GGGCCCAGACCGGCCCGCGTGGCCTCTGTCCCTCCCTTCGGCTGCCCCTCTCAGCAATGGAGGGGGGCAGCCCTGTCCAGCCTGGGGCTCACCCAGCCAGGGCGCCAGCGCCTTTGCCCCTAGAAAATCACCGGGAAGAGCCCAGAGCTGAAGCTCTCGGGGGGCCGCCTGGGGCCAGTGGGGCGGAAGGTGCTGGAAAAGGGCCAGAGAAGCAGAGCCGGGCCTGGCTCCGTGACCAAGGCTGCACAAGAGCGGGGAGCGGTGCGGGGCCGAGGCTGGTGCCCCGGGAGGACTGGCGCCCGTGTTCCCAGCTGAACCCTCCTTGCCCGGCAGGTCAGTTCTCGAGGTTGGCCCTTCGCTCCTGGAGCTTCCGCGCCAGCTCCTCCGAGATGTCTGTGGGCAGAGGGGGAGAAGGCAGCTACAGAACCGGAGCCGGACTAGAGCCCAGGCCCGTCTAGCACTGGGACGGCCGAGGCTGGTGCCCCGGGAGGACTGGCGCCCGTGTTCCCAGCTGAACCCTCCTTGCCCGGCAGGTCAGTTCTCGAGGTTGGCCCTTCGCTCCTGGAGCTTCCGCGCCAGCTCCTCCGAGATGTCTGTGGGCAGAGGGGGAGAAGGCAGCTACAGAACCGGAGCCGGACTAGAGCCCAGGCCCGTCTAGCACTGGGACATGAAACCAGGGAGCCTGACTGGCAGTCACCAGCTCTAACCACTAGGCCACAAAGCCAACCAAAGCTGGGATCACAACCCAGGCGTCCGGGCTGCCGGACCCCTGCTCCTGCCACAAGGGCAGAGTAACCAGCACAGACAGTCCATAGGCGGGCTGTTGCTAGGCACCCTCGTGCTCAGGTCTTTAGTGGCTGGGGACGGAGCAAGCAGAGCTGGGCATCAGCAGGGGAGCCCCTATCCCCCCCGCCTGTCCCACCACCCCAGCCCTCCGCGCCTGGGGGCAGCCCGAGACCTGCTTGCATGGGTGGCACTCGGGGACTCTTGCAGTGCTTTGTGGGGGCGGGAGGGGGCAGAGGACCCGGGCACTGCTCCTGGTGCCCCGGGGCAAGTCACGGCCCTTTTCTGGGCCTCAGTTTCCCCTCTGCAGCACATAGCTGGTGGTGCCGAGGCTCTGTGGCGCTCTCCCGACAGGAAGTGCCGGAGAATGGCCCCCCGCTGCCGGAGAGGTCTCGGTTCAGACAGCACCGATCTGCACGGGGCTCCCCACCCAACAGAAAACACCCTGGGGACTTCAGAGAGCCCCCCCTTTTGTCTCCACTCTCGCTGCCTCCAA